TTCGGTAGACCCCGTGACGATGCTGACACCCCAGTTCGACTACGGAGTTGATGACCCCTCTCTCTTGCCGGAGCAACCAGGCAAGCCCCCCCTTGATCACCAGATATCGCCTATTCTACTCTATACTGCTTGCATTAGAGTAGTGTAGCATGTTACTGCTTTCCGTTAACCCTATTCTGATGCATAGCCTGAGATTGTTGCTACATCTGTTGATACCTTACCTGCAATCCTAAATACTTAGTATAGGATGCTAGTTTATCATTATTGGCCCTACATTCTTGTCGGTCTGCCTTGCTATACTATTGGGCCGTGATCACTCGGGAGGTGATCACGGGTATATATTATACATACATACATACTATACAGATGGTGACTAAAGTCGGGTCAGCTCATTGAGTACCCGCAAGTGATTCTGACGAGGGGGCTGAAAGGACAGGTGGCTCCATCCTGGTAGAGGTGGGCCTGGGTTCCCGACGGCCCTCGACTGTTACTTTGTGGCGGAGCGACAGGGCAAGTTGAGACCACCTAGGAGACAGGTGGGCCTGGCCCTGTTCGGCGTTCGCGGATACTTAACACGCTTAACGAGATCTTGGTATTTGATCTGAGTCGGCTACGAGCCTATACGCACTAACCATCTACGTGGGAGTAGTTATGGGTATCCCGACGTCGTGGTATCAGCCGAAGCCCTTCAGACGTCAGCGACGGAGCGGCGCGCGCCGGATTGGAACGTAAGCCTGCTCTTGTATTAAGGGGGCTAGTTCTGCTTTCGGCCACGTACGCAACGTGCAGGTGTGGTATGGACGATGGGCCCAGACCCCTGTGCGCTTAGGATTAGACCGGCGTGCTGGCCTCTCTGTTGAGCCTAGGTGGGGCTGCGACGTGTTGATCTTCCGAGGCCGGGCATGACCCAGGAAAGTGTGTCCGGCCAAATGGGATCAAGCGTGTTGGGTTATGTGGTGCACCCCTGCAGGGAAGTTAATCTATTCGAATAGCCGTGATCTTCGGTAACAGGACGACTTGGAGTTGTACCTTGACCTTATGACAACTAGAACCGGATACTTAATAAAACACACCCTTCCAAGTTCCACAGACAACCCGGTGATCGCTTTTCCACAGGGCAACGAGGGGAGGATCGCCGGGTAGGATTATGCTATGAGATGTTACTTGGAGATGCTACTTGGGGGACTTCAATCTACTCTCTTCTACATGCTGCAAGACGGAGGCTGCCAGAAGCGTAGTCTTCGACAGGATTAGCTATCCCCCTCTTATTCTGGCATTCTGCAGTTCAGTCCACTGATACGGCCTCCTTACACATATACCCATGCATATGTAGTGTAGTTCCTTGCTTGCGAGTACTTTGGATGAGTACTCACGGTTGCTTTCTCCCCCCTTTTCCCCTTTCCTTTCTTCCTGGTTGTCGCAACCAGATGCTGGAGTCCAGGAGCCAGACGCCACCGTCGACGACGACCCCTACTACACCGGAGGTGCCTACTACTACGTGCTGCCCGCTGACGACGACCTGGAGTAGTTAGGAGGATCCCAGGCAGGGGGCCTGCGCCTCTTTCGATCTGTATCCCAGTTTGTGCTAGCCTTCTTAAGGCAAACTTGTTTAACTTATGCCTGTACTCAGATATTGTTGCTTCCGCTGACTCGTCTATGATCGAGCACTTGTATTCGAGCCCTCGAGGCCCCTGGCTTGTATTATGATGCTTGTATGACTTATTTTATTTGTAGAGTTGTGTTGTGATATCTTCTCGTGAGTCCCTGATCTTGATCGTACACATTTGCGTGCATGATTAGTGTACGATTGAATCGGGGGCGTCACACGCGTAAAGGAGAGCAGCAAGGATCTGGACCCAGCGCGGTACTACCGCGACGGTAAGGGCGGTACTACCGCCTCTACTGCCGCAACTAGTGCCTCAAAACCCGACACGAGAAAAAGAGCCCTCGAGTCGAGGTGGTAGGAGCCAGACAGCCCAGCGGTAGTACAGCTGCGGGATCACCGGCGGTACTACCGCTGCGGAGCAGTATTGCCGCTTGTGACCCTTCGGCGGTACTACCGCTGGGTAGTGCGGTACTACCGCTGGGACACAGACAGGAGAGAGAAGATCTCTCCATCGAGGCTGAGGACGAGGCGGTGGTGCCAGGCAGGCCAGTGGTAGTACCGTTGTGGAGTCATCGGCGGTACTACCGCTGCGGATCGGTACTGCCGCTTGTGACTCCTCAACAGTACTACCGCTGGGTTGTGCGGTACTACCGCTCACAAAAAGGAGAAGAAATCTCTCCAACGAAGTGGACGAGCTCTGAGGGTGAGAAGCTGATGTGTACGTGTTGATTCCACCCAAGCAATACCCCAGCGGACCCCCTCTTGATAGAACGGTGCCCTCTACGCAACTAGTCCATCGAAAGAGAAACGAAAGAGCTACACCGTCTTGAATGACACTCCGAAGGGAAGAAAACATCTCGTGCCAAGGATGAATCTGTGAACTACTCAAAGCACATGATTAGTCCGCAAACCTGTTGTCATTAATCACCAAAACTACATTGAGAGAGATATGCCTCAACAAGTGGCAATGCCCGGTTTCCTCTGAGGACAAAGTTGTATGTTTCCGCGAGGTCCGTTGTCATCACACCGTACCTTGCTCCATGTGTGTCATGTAGCCACCTCTCAAGAGGCTAATGATCTATCCACTGCTCGAAGGTTTTAATTGACCTCCCAAGCCTTCTCCTAGTACCAGGTGGGTCAAAGCCTGGCAGGTCACATAGCCCAACAGGCTCCTCCTCCACGTCCTGTTGCCAACTGTGTAGCTACTGCTTCAACATGTGCCCTCGCCGCTGCATCTCTTGCAGCTTTCCTATCCCTCACGTGTCTCTGCGTGCACACATTAAGTTCGTCGCATATCAAATTGTACTTCCATAACTCGTTCTGCTTGCAGAGTTTTTTTAACAGATTCATCAGGTTCTTATTTCTAAACCGCGAGAAGAAATTAGCCCCCAGATGGCGCATGCACCAATGGCTCTGCAAGTCCTGCCATGGAACTTGTTCCTCAGGGCCTGGGTTTGTCAGTGTCCTTATCACACTGAGTATACCTGCATGCCTGTCATGAAGGATGCACACATTGGGCTTCTCCTTCACAACTGATATTTTCAACTTTCTGAAGAACCATGTCCAACTTTCAATGTTCTCACTCTCCACAAAAGCAAATGCGAGTGGGACGACTTGATTTTGGCCGTCTTGACCTATGGCTGTCAGGATATGACCCTTGTACTTGCCTGTGAGAAAAGTACCGTCAGCACATATCACCGGTCGGCAATGCCTGAAAGCTTCGATGCATACACCGAAAGAGAAGAAGAGACGATGCAGCACCCTCACAGTTGGGAACTCTGGCATGAACATGTCTTGGATATCGATATAGGTGCCTGGATTCCGCTACTGCAGGGTGTGGAGGAGCTGGACAAGAGAGTCATATGCATCAAAATAAGAACCAAATCTCCTCTCAAGCGCCGCATGCTTAGCCCTCCAAGCCTTGCCATAAGAAATTCTGTACTTGAACCTGGCGAAGACTTTTGTCTGGACTGCCTTCACTTCCATAGCTTTGCCCTGCACCATCTCATCGTAAAACAACCAAGCAATAAGCGTCGATGAAAGGTTGGCATGATCCTGAGGGATGCAGGGAATAAGACAACTGTGATTAACTAAGTCACTTATCACCCAACTTGTGCCATACTTAGAGAGAAAGCCGTGCACCCTGGCAGGACAATCTGTGTTCTTGCATACCATTGTCAGGAATTTCTGACCGAACACCTAAGCTGTGAAAACCCTTTGCGTGGACATTGCCCAGTTAATTATTGCATCCTTCAGGGCTTGCTTGTTCGGATACATAGCACCCGTCGCAATATTGTTCTGGTGATATTGCCAGGCTGAATCATGTCCATCATTCACGGTCATTGCAGATGAAAAGTCATGATTCCACGATGCAGGATTCATGACCTTCTCTGCATTTTCTTCTTCATCTGACTCGTCAGAAGCATTGGCATGACCCCTTTCAATATCGGTGTCTTCTTCTTCCATCTAGTCCTGCATGTGCCCATCTACCTCGTCAGCGTCCACCTCGCCATTGTAATCACCATCGGCATTTCCTCCTTCTACCTGACTACTCTGCTCTGGTTCATAACCATAAGCATTTCCTCCTTCTACCTGACTGCTCTGTCCTTGTTCGTAACCATCATCTCCAGCATTTGACATAGATAACTGCCTCCCTACACTGCTAGGACCAGGATCGTAGCCACCCTCGCCTTCATGTGCAGTGACCTCCTTCATGACGGGAAGCACTAAAGCAACATGATTGCATCCCCTTCGTTCACAGCCTTATAACCACCGCACCCATTCGGAGTCTTGCTCTATCGGCCTCAAATAAAAGTAAATTATTGAACTTGACCGTGTCCACAATGCATGAACACCGACGGTGTGTGTTTCAGTATCAAGACCTAAACTTGCCACAATCCATTCTTTCAACTGACAGACAGACCATGTTTGAGGTGCGCTCATTGGCACATCTATGTGAGTAAATTCACTCAGATCTACTCACATCTCAATTATTTGGACAATATTAGGACCATAGCAAAATCTGAAGTTCACTACATCGGACATCTCGGCTCACCTATTTTTTTTCAACAACGAAATACAAGTATTAAGCAACAACTTAATATACCCCCACTAACAAATATTAGACATGTCTATATATTAGCTAGCTATATATTACAGAATGTTAACGGAGCAACTAATACTACCGGAGCAACTACAAATTTTTACACAACTAATTAATTAACATCTAAATATATTTACGTATACTACCAGAGCAACTAACAATAATCACACACCTAATTTATTTCACATCGAAACATATTAACAAATACTACCGGAGCACCTACGAAAAATAAAATGTTGGTTGAAATATACCCTTGAAGCGTGCGTGCAAACGACGAATGGCGGCCTTCAATCACCGGAATCGGAGCGGGAAATTCCACCAAACTGCCGGAGCTTCACCTCCACCGCCTCCACCACACTGCCCCAACTTCTCCACCACCACCTCCACCACCGCCGCAACAAGCTCCACCAATGAGCTGGAAAAAAACTCCACCTAAATGCTCACCACGACTGCCACGAGCTACCCCATCAGTATATCAAGGTCTCTTTTGGTTTCCCTAACTGAGTAGAATCCATTCACGGTGCCAAATCCGCAAATAACTAGCTCGTTCAGGTGTAGAAATTGGGGGCATTTTGGTGTACAGAGAGGAGAAGGAAAGAACAGAACAAGAACACTCGCGTGGGAGGAGGAAGAAGACGCAGGGAGCCGGCCGTGCCGCGCGAGGTGGGTCCACACCCTGTCGGCCCGTAGCTGGCCGATCGGCCCACGGTAAGCTGACAGGGGCTCACCCCGTGACCGCCGCGCCGACAGCTCCCTCTCTCCCCCCTCGCGACGTGGCCTGCCCAATCCGCGCGCGACACGTCGCAGGCTGGCCAGCTGTCGGCCTGCTACTGGCCGAGTACTCCCAGTCGACTTGCTGTGGGCTGACTAGGCCCAGTCGGCCCGCAGCGGGCCGACGGTGTATTATTTCTGAAATTCTTTTTTTGAGCGTAATATTTGTGCAAATTGATAAAAAAATATTATTTAAAAAAATTATCCATAAAATTTCATCTTAAAATCACATTCTTGGAAGTTGTGATAAAACAATTGATGCTCCAAAAGTGTTATTTTTGAAAGCATTTTGGACTATTGACTTTTTTGACAGGACTTCCACGAATGTCTTTTCAAGATAATTTTATGAGCATGTAAAACTTTTGTCAATGTCTACACCAAAAAAATTAAAAAAATCAAATGTTTTTTGATTTTTTTTCTGATTTTACTATTTATCATGAGCTCAAATGAGCTCGCGAGCAGAAGATGACTTTTGCTATGACTCATGCTAATTTTGCTGAGCCACAAGAGAGAAACAAAACAGGGACTTACGCTAATTGCAGAAAGTATTATAATGGAAGCTAGGTCAACAAATTGGTACAACTTTTAACATTTTGCATATCATTATCGGTTTTGAGCCGTAACAAATAAAAGGGAATTGCTTCATTTCATCCGGATGTAGACACTCCCAAGGCCAGCCGTCTCGTGCATGCGGCACGCGTCCAGTGGGGCCCGCCCATGTGCCCACGGCTCCATCCTTTTCTCTCCTTATCCTTTCACGAGCTCTTCCATCCAGTCCCATTCCTGCTGGTCAACTCATCTTCTCCCCATCACTCTATTCTCTATCCCGTGGATATCTCGTCCGCCATGGAAGGCATCCACGAGGTCCTTCAAGCGATGTGCAAGAGCTGCGAGGGTGGTCCGGGTGTTGCGAGCTCCTTCAAGTGCTGCGAGAGGGGGGGTTGGGGTGCTAGGTGGCGATGCGGCAACGACCAAGAACCACCGTTGTTTGGAAGGCCGCTCGAAGCACGCTGGTGCTACAGGCTAGCCACCCGTCGTCTTTGCCGATGTTACAGAACTAACTCGTCGTTCTCGCGTGAGTTGCTGCAAACCGCCTCAATGATGCAGGATTGCTTCCATGGCGCGAGTGGCCCGGGTTGCTTCCATCGCGCGGCGATGCTGCGACGGTGCCCCAGCTGCTCCAACGATGCTTCGGAGGCACCATCATGTTGCGAGCCAGTGCTTCGACGACCATCGATGTGCTGCGACGGCGCCGCCATGCTACGAGCCGGTGCTGCGACGACGGTCGACATGCTGCCAGAGGATGCTGTGACACCGTCGTGCTGCGAGCCGGTGCTGCGACGGCGTCGCCGTGCTGCGAGCCGGTGCTGTGACGAGTGCTGTGACGTCACCGACGTGCTTCAATCCAGTGTTTCGCCGTCGATGCGCTGCGAGATGATTTCAGAACGGGGAAGAAACGAGGCATGTTTTTGCGTTGACTGGTTGGACGGCTGGAATTGCTTATATGATGATGAATCGGATGGCAGGGAAGACGGCTGTTCTTTTCCATTGTGCATCTGAATGGCGCCGTTAGAGCAATGCAGCGGCACCGTGCGTCCCTCCGCCACCGTTGATGACAATCCTCATCCTTATCCTCTACCAATATGTTTGCCAAGACTTTAAATCCATCCATGTCCCTAATGAGGTGATTTGCGCCATGAGGAAGATGCCATTGTCCTCGAAAACCATCTTCCCTCCGCTGCTTGTTGAAATTCCGACGGCACAGCCGATCATATGAATACCTATCCATGGCATTGGATCCGTGCAGGCATGTCATACATGTCACGCCCCCTTTATTTCATCGCTCCCTCTATGCAACCGGCACCCACCTGTCGTCAGCGATCTTCATCGTTCTCGTGCAGTGGCGGACCCAGAAATTGAAGTTAGCCAGGGCGAACATTGTTGGAAATATAAATCTACTTAATCAAAATTCATGTCATTCAACTACCAAAAACATAAGAAGGTCTTTGAAACAATTAATATGGATTCTTCACTTGATGTCACAATACATGTCCACAATCTCAAGCGAGGCCTACAAAATTATAAATGTATTGGCTCAAGTGTGATAACTACTCCCTCCGTTCCAAAATATAGTGCGTCCTTGGTTCTCGTGTTTCAATTTTGATCATAAATTTAACCAACGAGACCGACTGCGGCAGGACTAAAAATTATAGCAATGAATTCGTATTCAAAAGAAGTTTTTAATTATATAATGTTTGCCTCCGCCGCAGTTGGTCTCGTTAATTAAATTTATAATTAAAGTTGAACATTGAAAAGCGTGAGCGTGCTATATTTTG